TAAATAGTTAATAAAAATGTCTCATTATATATATATATATATATATATATATATATATATATATATATATATATATATATATATATATATATATATACATACAGTATGTGTAATGTTCATGCAATTTATTGTAAATACAGACTTACCACTATACGTCCATTCAGCACCTGAAAAAATAAATGAATAAAATTGTGGTTAAAAATACTTAGAAGCGGTAACTTTTAACACTGATAAATGTCAATAATAAAACGTCAATAATAAAAGCAACCATATGTCATCTCATCCGTGAAGCAGATGTATCGATGTGTACTAAGTACACTGGAAATGCTCAGTTTTTGTAGCCTAGACCTTACCGTGAAGGAAGCTGAGGGAAGTCAGCAGCAGGAGCGCGCTGGCGATGAAGCTCAAAATGCGCATCTTGACCTCCTCTCAATACACAACTCCGGGATCTTGGAGCACTCGTCTCCAAAAAGCTCTTTTATACCCATGCTGTTGACACAAACTGACGTCAGAGCATCAACAAACTCGGTGGTAAGAGTCATCTAGGGCACCGGAGGGTGACAGCCATGCAGCGGCTCCTTTAGGTCTCCACCTCATGCATGAAGTAGCGCAGCAGTAACGCTGAGCGCGGCGCTCTGTCAGGTGAAGTGTGAGCGCTCCACACTGCAGCAACCTGTTGGCGTTATTACGTCCAAGCCACATGTTTACACTCAGAGTATTAAAGTTTTTTTTTATTATTCCAGTTTTATTACATATTTTAAACAGTGTACCGAAATGCTACTCCTTTCCACTGCAACGTTTTCTTGCAGATTATTAATTCGTTCTCCGTACAGAGAATGAGTCTGTATGAATCTATGTCGTACATGATGATGCATTCTGTGGCCAGCACTTTCCATTTTATGATAAAAAAAAATGTCTAGACTTATGGTTGTCTAGACATTTGGAGAAAATTTATTAACAGTAAATGTTGGATTATTGGGACTTTTATGATGTTGGTTTTGATTCGTTAAGTCATTCAAGTGTAAAGTGACATTCAGTAATAACCCGGCTTACATTCTGCTGCAAGAAAGATCATGAAGTGTAGCTTGTTATTCTATTCTTTGAACTTTTTCACGTTTTTTTGTCTCGTTAACACATTTTAGATTGATTTTATGTCATAAATTAACATCGAAGAAGAGCATAATTGTTACGTAGAGCTGAATTAGGGTAAAAAGAAAAATAGGAAAGAATGTGGTGCAAATACCACTTGTTACAGAATCAATATTTTGGCACCTGGTGCATAGCTACAGGTCATTCACATTGGACTGAGAGGAAGTTTAGACTACTTATCAGGCACTGGAAGAGAGACCAGTTCGGCTGTTTATTCAACTGTTTATTCAAAAACAGTTTTGAATAAATTACCAATGGAGAGAAACAGTTTTGTAGTCTTTAATCCTCATATTAAACAAACACACTGAGGTGTTTTTTTTTTTTTTTGTTTTTTTTTAACTCAACAGCTACATAATAGTTGGAACACATTAAATGATCATTATTGATGTATATTGCAATGATTATGTCATTTTCCTCTGTTCTTTCTGTTCTATAATCATATAAGATCTAAACCTCCCCTTGAGATTGTTTGCATCTTGATCATAATTATCTTGGACTAATGTTGGGATAAAGGTCTGCAAAAGCCTATCTTGGCAGCCAATTAGCAAAGATTAAAGGAACGGCACCTGGAATAGTAGTTAGACAACCACATACAACTGGAACTAGTGTAAAGTGTTTAGAGTAAAGTGGATTCAGGTGTTAGAATGGCTGATATTCTACACCTTAATTCAAGGGAGGATCAAAACAAGACTTGGAAACCGATGGTGTCATATGCTCGCCAACCTGACTAAGCTGCAGCTGTTTTTGGATAAATGAACAAAGACTTTAGTCTTCAGATGTGCAAAGTTTAATTCAAAAATACTTTATTGATCTCAGAGGGAATTTGAATAAGTTGGTATAGAAATATACGCCAAAGGATTGTAACTACAGCAAAAACATAATTATACAAAGTATTGAATCAGGAGGGTTTGTACAAATGCTAGCTGCAGTTTCCAAATTGTTATTTATGAGACAGTTTTAAAAACCACAAATCCCTTTACACCAACTTTATAGCTATGCACTCCTTTTGCATTAGTCACATGAAATCTAAATAAAACGCTTTGCACTTGGAGGTGTTAATGCAACAAAAAGTGAAAGAAAATGAAGGGACGACAATACTTATGAATAGAATCAGATGTATGCACGTCTGAATATTTTTTTTATTTGTCTTTATTTGCTATTTCTCTTAATGATTTTGTGTTTTCTGAGGTTTTGATTTTGCTTGTCAAAGCCAGTTTCTGCTATCTGTTGTGCTTGTGATATATTTATCTTTTGTAGTGTACTTAAATTAGATGTTGATTTGTGGACTTACTGTTGATTCAGTATCTTTGTCACCACAAAGATACTGTGTTCTTTTATCTCTTTTTATCTCTTTCCTAGCTAAAAGCCCACATCGCAACTCTGTGTAATTGTTATGTGCTTCGGGCACATTATGATTTTTCTTTCTTTTTTTTTGTTTTGTTAGACCTTGATTAAATGACTTTTTGTATATATATTTTGGACTTTTAATAATTTCTTTTTGGTCATTTAATTACGTTAATTTGTGGTGCTGTTGGTCCGCCTATAAATAGGCTGGCTTTCGGCATGTAGGGGCCTCCCCTCCATTCCCGCCTGGGCTCCGCCTTTCCGCACGCTAGACCAGCCGCTGTGGGCCGCAGCTGAGGCTTCCAGCCTGCCATGTGGTACCTTTGTTAGCTTTTGTTTGTTTTTTCCGTTGTGTGTTTGGCCTGGTGGGACCGGTTGTCCTGTTTTCGATTTTTCTTTTGCATTAGGTTCTTTTGTTTCTAGTCCGGTACTAGTAGGGGCTTCGACGGCCCTGTATAGGGTTGGCCCCCTGCTGTACCGTTTTGTTCTGTTTGACCGGCTCACCAGGTCCAACTTTCTGTTACTACTTTTGGGGTTTTGTTTCTTTATTTTTTGGGACACGGGATTTGAGGGCTCGAACTTCGTTTTCTCCTCAGGAAATCAGAAGATGCTGACCTGAGAAAATCAAAGTTAAGAGAATTTATAAATAAAATCATTTTGGTTGAACCCTCATCTGTTGTCTCGTGTCCTCAGATATGTTGTGCCCTTGGTGGACGTAACAGTAATTCAGTCTTGAAAACTGTAATAAAGCAAGGACAAGGAGCTTGAATGTACAATGTGTGTCAAACCACAAAATGGCACTAGAAGCTAACACTTCTTCAGGTCAACTAGGGTCAGATGTAGAAAGAGCACATCTCAAAAAAAAAAAAAAAAAAAAAAAAAAAAAAGAAGCTGTTGAGCTGTTAGCCTGTGCATTGACTCATTACTGTCCCCGTACATTCTGCAGCAGGAATAGAATTTATTTTATCTGCATATTTTATAAAAATGAGTAACAAAAGAATCAACAAATATATGCAATATGCTTTTGAATCCTATAGATCCACTTTACTGAGTGAAACAAAAAGTCAAATGGTGGTTGGTTAAAAAAAGTAAATATACAGAGCATTTGTACTTTACAGCTTTGCCTCACACCAGACAGTACAAAAAAAAAAAAAGCAAGATGAAGAGTCTTGTGTATTTGGCAATTGTTCTGTCAATATGTCACATCAATCACTCAGTAAACCCAGGTATGCAACTCTTCTTTTTATATATAAACTAGTTAACCCATTTCATGTAATTGTGTGGTGTTCCACACTACTCTTTATTTAAGGACTGACCAGAACTGTTATGGGGAGTTACTAAAAATAGTATTTACAACTGTGTATACTAAGCAACAAATATTATTTACCCTCTCCTACTTGCGCTGAGCTCACTGATTCATTTTCTTTCACTGTAATTTTGAAAATTTTTAAACAATGAGATTATTCTGTTTGAGTCTGACTGCTACAATCTACATCTAACTGGTTTCTGTAAACAACATGTCAGTTTTGAAAAGAGAATGTTTAAGTAAACTCCCTTGGTGGAAATTGACAAAAACCAAGTGGTATACACATTTCTGGCTTTTTTTAAATGATCATCATTACAAGAGGTAGTAGGTGTTTGGTACTGAGGTGGATTAAACATTGGTTGCGTTTTATTACCCCTGCAGAAACCTTTCCACACAGAAAATCTCCAGATTTCAACTATTAAGTAAGATTTTACTCAGATAAATCTAATTTGCAGTTTATTTTATCATCATGATGCAGGTCATGGAACAAACTTCACAAATGCTTTGTAGTATTATGCCAAACACGATTGCTGCAAACCCTTTCAACTACAGAGGCCAGGGAGGAAATGTGAATCATTTTTTCAACGAGAGAGCGTGCATGAGAACCTGTTCAACAAATACAGAGGGATCTCTACCCCAGCAATGATGAGAATATTTAGTCCATATATATTGGGGGAAAATTTTGATTTACCGTGGCACAGTTCATTTTTGGAGGTGGATGGTTTTTCAGTTTATTCAGGCATGAGCAATAAAGAAAAAAAAAACAAAAACATTATGGACTACTGGCTCCAACTTCTCTCCTACAGGATAAGATTAGAAAAGGCAAGTGAACATGACATGTCACACAACTTTTAATATTGTAATTTAAGTCATTGATAACTAATTCAAAAATCAATTAGGTAAGCTTCTTCTAACCTTTCCTAACTCAAGTAAAAACTTGAAGAGAGACTTTATTAAATCTGCAGAATATATGAAAAAGCTGAAATAAACAGAAGTAGTTGGTGAATATGACTACTCTTTAAAGTTTGAATGGTGTTTCTAGCTGTAAGTACGTGGAAGTACTTAGCTGTGAAAAAGTGCAATGTTTTTAGCAGAATTTTTCAGAAATTATGGGATGTTCCCCATTTGGGGCCAAGATGATCACACAAATATTTTATAAGCTATTGGTACCAATGTTATTTCCATCTTTGCAGTAATTAATGAACATTCAAGAGTTCTGTGTGAGTTGCCAAATTAAAAAGTAATAAAATTCAGGATGGGTAAATCCTTTTTATTCCATGTTCATCCTGATAAATGCATAAACATCGTATTTGAGCTGACATAACAAGGCTTCAGTTCACATTTATTGCAATATGGATCTTAGCATGTCTATCTACGCTCAAATATCACAACCTATGAACTTTTTTTTATGACAGTACCACTGTTACAGAGAGGAACTCTCTAGTGTTCCCATTAACTTCAGTTTCGATTGACAGAGTTATCATTAGGACAATACATGTCCAAAGGTCAATAATGGGCACCCACTCCCATCGTAGTTTATATCCCTCATTCACTCCAGGAAAGACAGCACAAAGACAAGCAGCAAAATGAAGACACTTCTGCTGTTAGGAATTTTTTTGTCAGCACTTCACACCAGCAACTCACAAAGACAAGGTATGGCTGTATTTTTTTTGTTTTTCTTTTTAATTTTTTTCTTAAAATGAAAGATAATTTAAAGATAATTAGGAATACATGTCGTAGAGTTGAAGCTAGCTTTCTATAATCTAGACCAGCACACGGGCGTATGCGTTTTTGCAAGAGTATGGAACTGGTTGCTGAATTCAGTCTGATTTATGTTGTTCGCTTGAGCTGAATGAGCTAATTTCAACGACACTGTAATCTCCAAGGTACGACTTCACCTTGAGTTATTTTGGTGTGACTTGGGTGTTATTTTTCCTGAGGCAAGGGACGACTGAAACTGTAGACATGGACTAACAGGACAAAACAAGTCAGTTCAGCAAAAGTCTGTTGAGTTTACAGGTAAAAACTAAATATTACCCTTTAAACAGCTATTACTACATTATCATTGTACCTTTGTGTCATGTTCATGTTATGTCTTGAAGCTCAAATTATAGTATTTTGTGATTGTTTATTTTGCTGAAAATGTTATATATATATTCTCCTGCTTGTGCTAAGCTGACCAGACATTTTCTACCTCTGTAATTCAAAACCTTTACACACGACTCACCTTAGTTCTGCACCTGAATGTAAGCTGAGCTGAAACAAACCTTTATCTTCACTTAAAGATACAGGTTAGAGTTAGAACCCAAATGGTCTTCGTTTTCCAGATTTTCATTTTGTTAAAGAGTGTCAATTACATAGGTGACCTGCCTATATTAAATTTACTTTTGTAAAAAAGAACTGCTTGAAACACACTTCTTTTCTGTGAAGCCCATAAAGAGCAACATGGCTGAAAAATATATGACACTTTTTATTGCTGCTGTAAAACAGGGAGTGGGTCTCTGGTGATCATGCTAGTTAAACATTAGTTATAGATTTACAAAAATGTTTGTTTAAGCATGCATTATTCTGAACAAAAAAGAGAACTTGACTGTTTTGAAAATAAAAGTATCCTTAAACTTATCTTTTTGTCATTCAACAGAATTCTGCAATCTGCCCCAGGATCCAGGTCAAGGCTCAACTTTCACGTTTTCTGTGTATTACAACCCTGAAGAAGACAAGTGCTTGCCTTTCTTCTACCAAGGCGAGGGAGGAAACGCCAACCGTTTCCGAAGTGAAAGACAGTGCATGAGAAACTGTTCATTCAATTTTGAGACGTTGTACCCAACAGATGGTGAGAAGATTTTTTTTTATAAGCAAAATAAAAATTACCTGATTTAAAAGTTCATTTTATTTTCACCACTTCTCAGCTGTAAATATGAATCATGGCAAATATAACTGCTGAACATCCTTCATGCCGTTGGTGGACTTTGGAGTTAGAACTCACTGATAACAGTTTAATGGCCTAAAGAACCATGACAAAACAACTAAGCCTTTTTGAATGGGAAAGACAAAAGAAATGCTCCTCAACAATATTCCACATAACATATTATTTTTCTGTTAACAGAAAGGATTTGGGGAGTTTTTTAAATGTAATGCCAGGAGGCCACTCTTCTCTACAATTTGTAGCAATTATGCGCCACCAAGTGGTGAAAATCTAAGACAGACAGACAGACAGACAGACTGACTGACCGATTGACTGATTATCTTGAAATTAATTGTATCTTCTGTTAACAGAAACTGAAGCTTGTCACTTTAAATATGCGCCTGGAGGGTGTAACAGTAAACGCCTCAGATACTACTACGATGCCATTCATGACAAATGCAAAACATTCTTTTGGACTGGATGTTTTGGAAATGGAAACAGATTCTTTGACTTAGAGAGCTGCAATAGGACCTGCGTTGGCATTCATGGTGAGCTAATAACTATCTCAAGTTGTGTACTTGTTTTTTTGTTTTTTTTTAATTTTTAACATGTTAATGTTGATCCATCTGGTTTTTAGATGAAGGGGATGAGGCTGAGGAGGATGAACCGGACACTCCTATTAGTAAGTGGAGACGGGGACAAATGTCTTCAGTGACTGAATAAATGCTTGTTTGCCTTTATTGAAATTCTTATTGGTTGCCAAGTTGGAGATTCTACCAATATTTTCAATAATTTACAATTTACACACTAGTTTAACAGCTGCCTTTTCCAACAGCCATCATCTTTGCGGTTCTGCTTTCCATTGTCATTTTTGCTGTCTTGTTAACTGTGATTCTCCTCGTAGTGAAGTCAAAGTAAGTCTGCTTTTTGTTCTTCTCTTTCATATTCTGTCAAGTATTTTAACTCAACAGTATGTGTTTTAATGGTATTTTTTCTGATGGACTGATGAAAAGTAGAGCATACTTGAGAATTGAAAGTAAAATAATACCTATTTTCAAATGATTTTTTTTACAAAACAAATCTGAAAAGTTTTCTAAAACTCTCTTTGCAGCAAATTGCCCAAAGAAGTCCTCATGATTAGTCAATGTGAATCCACTTGAGTTTATTTAACATAAGGATAAACACAGCTTCTTGACCTGTAAAGATCAAGAAGCACACCTTGTGTTGTGGGAAAACAAAATTGCACATTCCCCCTGACTTAGCATCCCCACTTTGATGCATAGTGGTGGCAGTATCATAGTGTGGAAATATATTTGTTGGGGAGAAGGAACATGTTTAGACCTGATGGGGAGAAGGATGGATTTAAATATACACCAGTCCTGCAAAAAACTTGAGATGGAAGTGGAGGTCTACTGTGCAGTAAGGGGAAAACCTTAATACATGGTACAGCCATAGAACACGAATGGCCTAAATCTGAGAATCTGCAGCAATAATTGAAAATTCTTGCATATGGACTCTGTCTAATTTTGACTGAGCTTGAGCTATTTTGCATAGAGGACTGGGTAAAAATATTAATCTCTGCAGAAAGGATTGATTCAGAACGCTTATTCAAAGGGGGCTGGATACGCATACCATGCTTTTTTTGCATTTATATATATAAATATAATAAATAAAACATCATATGTCATTTTTCTTCCTTTTCACAATAATGTGCTTCTGTTACTAATTTAGAAAATTTTTACAAAATATATTAATGTTTGTGGTATGAAAAAATGTGAAAAAGTCAATTTTTTGCATGTATTTCATGATTTATTGCACTTTTGTAGGAAAAAACACCAAAAGAAGAAAGCCAAGGAGTCCCAGGCTGACGCACCACTTCAGGGGAGTGGGATAGAAATGACATAGGAAGGCTCCTTTTCTCCAAAAAACTGTTTTTTTTTTTTACCTGGTTGCCATTAAGAACTAAGTTTTGTGGGTAACACTTTATTTGAAGGGGGTTGAATAAGACTGTCATGACACTTTTCATAAACATGACATAACACCTGTCATGAACATGAATAAGCCTTCATGAATATTTATAACTGTTGTCATAAAGCGTCATTTTAATACAAAGTTGACATTATTCAAAATGTCTTTGTTATGACAACTTGACATTAACCAGGAAATCATTACTGTTTAAACTTTACCTTTAATAACATAACGTTACCTAATTTTTAAAGTGCAATCAATAATACTTTTATAACAAATTTATATCAGTAATGATTTCTTGGTTAATGTCAAGTTGTCATAACAAAGACATTTTGAATAATGTCAACTTTGTATTAAAAGTGTCATAATTTACTGAATGACGCTTTATGACAACAGCCATAAATATTCATGAAGGCTTATTCATGTTCATGACAGGTTTTTATGACGGTGACATGTCAGTCTTATTCAACCCCCTTCAAATAAAGTGTTACCGTTTTGTGTCCTAAAACCAAATGCATATTTTTTTCTGTCCCTGAGAACTACACTCTAAATTCCATTTTAAAAAAAGCAGATATTTTCTTTTAATTAGAGTTGTTTAATTTAGGTTACATGCTAAGAGATGTTTTTTTTACTTTTCATAGATTTAACCAATGTTTTCAACTTTTGAAGCAAGACATTTAAAATGCAATCAAATTAAAATATTTGTAAGTTTAAAATGATAAGTAAATAATCAAAAATCAGGTGCATATTCAAAAAAATCATGTTCTTTGAAACCTCACTTTTTAAGATATCTTGCGGGGTTTTTTTTTTGTCTACAATAAAGCCCTTTTGCAGTTAACAACTGTGAAACATAGAAATAAAAGCAACCCTATAGATAAGGACAACATTCTCTAAAATATTACTTTTTGCGCATATGTTGGCAGTTGTTTGGATATAAAAATGCATTGTGATTTTGCAGAATGTGCTGTATGTTCTACCAAATGTCTGGATGAGAACCCAGCTTAGCTCTCCATTTCGAAGTCTATAACTGTGAGCATTCAACAGATGTCTTTTTTTTTTTTTAATCAATATTCTGTTTTATTTACCAAAATCCATTCTGGATATTTTTCAGTGCTTTATTTACTGTTTACATTGCAGTGGGGCTTAATAAGGTAAAGTTTTAAAAGTTTTAATCTTCAATAAATTTAGTTTTTATGTTTGTGTTTTTATCAGTTTCTTCAGCATTATTGTTGGAAATCTTTTTTTGTGACTATTAAAATACAAAGCAACAAAGTTTTGCAACACACTACATTATGACCACAAGGAAGGTAAATGTTATCATGAATCTTTTTGGTGTAATGTTCTGAATTGTTCATTCTAAAATTGGGAACTTGCTTAGACAGTTTTTCATCACTCAATCTAGTTTATTATGAACATTTTCAAACTTTATGTTGATCAGGGGGAGCACATTCAGGAATAAAAGCTTTTTAGGATGAAAACTACTTTATTAGGGTTGAGATTGTATTGGAGCTGTAGAACATAATAGAAACTTTATTGAGTCAGTTTATAACATCAGGTTTTGACTCACCAGCTTATAGGCTGCTGGAGCCATATGGCCTTAAACAGTCAGAATTGAAACCAAATATTTACAAATAAAAAGATACATACATTTTGTTTTCTCACTGTTTGAACTTAAATCAGACCAAATGTCTATTGTTTTAGGTTCGTTACCAAAATTATTTCTATTTGTTAAATGTCAGAAAAACTTAGCAAAAACATTTTTAAGACATGTTTTGCACCACTTTCTTTGAATTCAGACGTTTACATACATTTGGTCAGTGTCAGGGATATTTGTCTTTTTAACTCTATCATTTGGGTCAAACCTTTCCGGCTTCGTTCCAGAAACCCTCTGATAGGTCAGTTTTTGAGTTTAGCTCTGATTGGTTGTTTCTGGCTCAGGAGCATTGTACAGTATCTCTGCAGACCACTGGAGGGACCCAGAGGAGGTTGATTTATTTTTATTTTTTTTCACGTTATCGCTCTGCGCTTCCGTACTCTCTCTGCTGTGGTATACTGGCAGTTTTAACAAATATGTAAAAAAAACAAACAAAAAAAAAAAAACTGCAACAACAACATATTTTTATATAAGTTACTTGTGACATTAAATGACATCACATTTATCCGCTGCTTTTCAGTACCATTAAAAACGCATTACAATGAAATCAGTTATTCCCATTCATGCACACATTCACATTCTAATGATGGTAAGCTGCTGGATTGTAGCCACAGCTCTGGGGTAGTGTGACAAAAGCAAGGCTTTATTGTGCTATTGGCCCTTCTAACCACTACTACCCAGTGTAACTTTGAGGAGTGTTTCGACAAATAAGAACATAAGTTAGAAAGAAATCACTATGGATTTTCAAAAACATTATAAAGATGGGAGCGAAGGTTCGATTATATGTCACAAGGGCTGCCATATGTTGTTGGAAAGGAAGTTTTTACGAAAACTAGCTAAATTTAATTTAAATATAGAACTTGAAAAGGTAAGAAATCGTGCATTAAAAAGAAATAGTGCTACCTCACATACGATGAGACTGCCTACACACCCATTTCTATCTTTTATGCACAAGGACGGAAGCGCTAAAGCGCTTTTCTCTGAGGCTTTTCATCTTTGTGACGAAAACCAGCGAGAGCCGGTGGAATGTACGTCACTTCCTTGAGTTATATCCATTTGTTTGTGCCCAGCAGTTACCTACTGCGTAAACACCAAAGATATCGTTACTGTTTTACCTTACAATATGTGTGGGTGGAAACTACCGAGGGTTGATTTTATTTGAACTCTTAGTCTGAAAAGTGAAAGCTCTTTTAGTTACCTAACGCGTTGGCGTTAGCGAAGACAGGAAAACGTGTACTCGCTAGCTGCTTTAGGTTAATTGGCTAACTATTGTTAGCTGGCCGGATACAATTGGTATTGTTGAGGGTTTTTTGTAGAGTCCTTGTCTTGGTACTGCTGGTGTTGTTCTGTCCATAGAGTTGTGGAGCTGATGGAGTGCCCTCATCTCAGCTCTAACGTAAGCTGTACCACCGACTCCCCCAGGTTCCCTAACGGTACACCGTCCTCCTGGTGCTGTAATGGTAAGAGCGGCATTTGTCTCAGTTCCGTTTCTAAAACTAAACTAATGTGAAGGTAGTTCAGTTGGAGCAGTCTGGGGTACATTTTTTTTTAAAACCTTATCCCCAAGTCAGACTTCTCATGAAATCGTATCTGTGTCAGTTTGCTAGCCACTCTGTAGCTACAAGTAAACAGCCACAAGGGCAAATTACAATTCAGTTGTTATAGTAATAGTAAAAAAAAAAAAAAAAATGGTTCAATCGAACGCACCATTTTGCTTCATTATGTTATGTTTTATGTTTAGTTTGCAGGTCGAATAAAAGTCCATGGATTTGCCTTACCTGTCTGATGGTTCACTGTGGGCGGTAAGTAGCTGAGTTTTGCTATTAACAAGAAACCACAACTAAATTATCATTTAGTTTTCTCTTGTGATACTAATAATAATGCATTTTTTATTAAGCTCTTTACATTTGAAACGAATCTCTGGTACATAAAAGAGGAAACAATGATAAAGCAAAAATAGATTACAGGACATAGGTCAAACTGTCTAAGCAAGGAAGGCCTGTCTACAGTGGAAGGACAGTCTGACATAATTATCTTTAACTTGCTCAAGTTAAGGTAGATATAAGTTTATCAGGTAAGTGAGTTTTTTTTTTTTTTAACCAGGTAGGTCTTGAATATGTTATGGACTTGAAGCTACCTAGTTAAAAACTGTTTAAATTAGGCCTGTATTTGACATAAACCAATTCTTGCCATTTGTTCCAGTAATATTTAGAATTTAGACAAAATGGAAGTATTGATTAAAGATATTTAATACTGTAAGTTTTACTATTATTATATGAAAGAAAAAAAAAACTCTTGTCAGCCTTGGATAGTTTTAACCATTGCATTATTTATTCACAACTACATAAATATGGACTTTTCTGCTTAGTCTGCTGGATAATGGATGGATACATCACTTTTTTTTCCCCAACATTGTTAAGATACAGCTTGGATGTAACGTGTTTACATTCTTTATACATTGATGTCGTGATTCATACAAAATTTGGAAACCTGTCCCACTCAACTTACTATGAAGTGTAGAACGGGAAAACATGAGACATGTGTTCCGTGATTACATATAGTTGAATTATTAAACTTCAATTAAAAATTATGCATTTTGGATAGAGGGCATAGTCCTTAATTTGCATAGTCTGATTGCATAATTAAACAGAATATTCCTGTGTTGTACAAGTCAAGATATGAAAATCAGAATTCCTGATTCTTCTTTTTTTTTTATTCTTAATATATTTTTCTGGTAATTATTGATGTTTTTACATTATTAAATTACCAATTCTTATATAGATATGTAAATGGGCATGCCAAGAAACACTTTGAAGAGAACCAAGGCCCCAGCATTTGTCAAAGGAAGGGGGAAAAACAGGAGAAAGATAAAACCTATCATTCTGTCTGCATGGACTGCAGCAACTTCAGTGTATTTTGGTGAGTTTTCCCAAGAACAAATGCAGTTTTGCTACATTTCCTTATAACTCAAACATTTAACTTTCCTTTTTTTGTGGATGCACTTAAGCTTTAATGTGTGACACTGCAGATATTTCTTAGAAATTGTTGTTTTAAATGTGTGTGTTGTAACTGTTTATTTCATGTAGTTACAGATGTGATGACTTTGTTGTCAATGACACCAAACTTGGGCATACACAGAAGGTGAGAGAACATCTCCAGAGTTTAGAAAAGTAAGTAAAAATATTCACTAATAGAGCCTTAAAGTGCATTTGATTGATTATTTATTCTGTCATCTCTGCAGTTCCTAAAATATTTGACCAAAACAATTTGCCTCAAAGATTATGTGAAATTTTAATGGTATTTGACTTTCAAACAATTTCTCACATATGTTGTAAATTAAAAACAAAACTTCATCCTTTTTTCAGTTCATTGCTTTTGGGAGACAGACAGAGGAAGAGGAAACTTCTAGAAAGCTCAGCTGCAGATGGAAAGCTGTTAAAAGACAATGTAAGTATTATTCCACTTTAAGAATAATCTAGATTGGCTTTCCATAAGATTTGACAGATTTAATCCTCAGCTTCCCCTCTTTCAGGACGGGGTGGCTGTGGGTGCCACTGGTCTTCGAAATTTGGGCAACACATGCTTCATGAACGCCATCCTGCAGTCGCTCAGGTAAGGCTTTGCTCTGAGGGACGAGGGTGGCCCACTGGATTTACAGCACAAAATCAGTAGTTCTTCCCCAGTGGAGCCAGGGCCCCAGGACCAGTCAGCCTTTATTAATACAGTCTGTTGCACATTGGAGGATATTACAGAGGCTGCCTAGAAACAAGAAGCAGTCAAGGCCAGGTTTCTCTACTTATACATCTTTGTATCATGCAGCAGGATTATCTAATAGTATCAAAACATGTTATATAAAAATACTATTTGATATTTATTTTCT